GGCTCCCCTCCCGCCGCCTCCATCTCAGGCCTGAGCGCGCGGAGCAAGCGGGGCGGAGAGAAGCAGGTAGAGGATTGCGGCCAGGCAGTGAGAGACGGAAGACGGAATCGCTTGATTTTTGAGGGCCAGTGTCGTCAGGAACACGAGGCCTGGAGTCCGACTGACTTGGGGATGTCGCCCGCCTCACTCACCTTCCAGCCCCGTGACCCCGAACCTCTCACGTCTGAAGTAAAAAGAGGGCTTCTCGGCTCAGAGTGCTTGTGAGGCTCACGTGACATGATTCAGGTAGAGTGTGAGGTGGCGGCTTGCCCTGAATAAGTGCTCAGGAAACACAGAAGTATTGGTAGTTTCATAAACACATGCTGCAAAATTAATTCATTCAACAAACATCTTCTGAACAGCCAGTCTATGGCAGGTGTTAAACAGTCAAACAGAGGGGAAGAGACCTACTGTTACAGAAACAACAGGCCAGCCAAGAAACAAGCACCACTTGGAGGGTTGGAGTACTCAGATGTATTACACCAGCGGGCTCAGAGGGGCTTCTGCTCTGAAGCTCTGAGCACCTCCAAGACGTGCGCATGAGGTTTTATAGGGTTAATTACAAGTATGGGGCTATTAGCCAATAAGGCTCAAACAACAAAAAGCAAGAAATCAGTGCACTGGAGCTTATCAATTCGGAACAGATCACGTTACTGACACTTGTTGAGCTTGGATTTACGAGTTAGCTTGTTAGCCCAGTAAACTGACACTAAACTTCAGATTTACGAGTTAGCCCGGCAGAACTCAGATCAGTAAACCTACACTTATCACACTTAGATTTGTGACTTAGCTTGTTAGCCCAGCTGGGCTTTTCCTTCACACTACCTCTCCGTGTTTATGAAAACGAAGGACCGGGCGGGCTCCCTTAGGTCACAGGACCCCCATCCTTCATCCAGTCAACACCTGTTCCCTGGGCACCGAGACTGTCCAGGCCACAGACCCCACCCCTCAGAGCCCCAGTCTGGAGGGGCGAGGGGTCAGTGCATGCATGGAGCAGGACCACAGAGCAGTGCCTGCCAGGGATCTGCACCCAGGCTCCCAGGAGCGAGGGAAGCCTTTCAGAGGAGGCACACACATCTAGAAGGTTCCAAAATGTTCCCTTTCCACTGAGAGTCTTTTTCTCTCCAAAGCACACAGCAGCATCCGCAGCCCACATAGGAACAGAGCTTCCCTTTCATCTAGCTCGAGATTTTTACCTTTTTAATCTCTGGAGCCTGAATGGGGACTGAATTGCTGCCTCCTTTTGAAATCATGCAGCTGCTGCCGCCAGAGAAAAGATAAAAATGCACTGGGGATTTTTCTTCAGACCTGCTTCGTACGTACTGTATAAGCTATTGGGGTTTTCAACAGAATTTAGAAAATTCATAATGCCAGGTTTAAGTCTTCTTCAGAAGTTTAAGGATTGGAGGAGGAAAAGGAATTTTAGAATTCCCTTTTCTCTCTGGCATCATCAAAAGATAAGCTGGGCGGGGTGGGGGGTAGGGGGGAGATAAGCGAAATACAGAGAAGCCCTGGTGAAGGCTGGGAGAAAGGAAAGGTTTTCCATCATGAGTGCCTGCAGCTTCTGATAAACAGACGCCAGCTGCCGCTCCAGAGGCCTGGTACCCAGAGTTCCGCTTTGAGACACTTGTAGCCTCTAGCCCTGGGGACATCATTTAACCTTTCCAGCCTCGATTTCCATATCCACTTATACTGGAGAGCCTGCTGTGTGCTGGCACTTTGCCTGGGGAATACACGTGGGCCTGAGTCCCTGCCGTCCCCCAGGGCAGCTTTGTCAGTGTGAGTAGGATGTATCACTGTTCGAGGGGGTCTGTGTCAAGTACATGGGTATTCAGGAAACCTCTGAGAAGAGCCCCAGGGATGTTCTGAGCAGACCGCAGTCCCCATTTACCTGGCAGAAGTCAGGGAATGAGTCCTCCTAGGGCTTATGACGTCTCAGGGCTACTGCCCTTGTCTGTGACACGTAGTACCCACCTGTAGGATTGATGGAAAAACCCCAGGGCGCGTGCAAGCTCAGAGAGACAGCACAGAAGCCCTGAGAACCTGCCTCCCGGCCATCCAGATCCCAGGAATCCCAAAAAGGGAGAAGGTGGTGGCAGTTGTGTAGAGCTGGGAGAGAAGGGGAGAGGGTGGATAGTAGAGGGGAGGAGACCCTGAAACTCACTCAGGCAGGAACCAGCTTGGGCCAGGTCTGTCGGAGACCAGACTGACATTCGCCCCTTTTGCAAAGCTGACCTGAGCACCGGGGTGGGGCGGGGCGCGCGGGGCGGGGCGGGCTGCAGCCTCAGGCCTGATCAGAAGGTTGTTAGTGAAGAACCTGAGTCAGCACCTGGTGGTGACACATCCCATCCGTGCAATGGGGAGGGCTGGCGGGGGTCTGTCCCTGCCCTGTGTCTGGGGCTGTCCCATAAAACACGGTATTTGCAGCTGAGAGTCAGGGGCTGTAGCCACATTGCAGGAAGAGGCTCTCAGTCCAGAGGGAATTCGTCCCCTCTCCCCAGGCAGCGTGACCGGGGGCAGTGTATTCTCTGCAAGCTGAGTGACCGCAGAGGTGGGACAGCCCATGCAGATCAGCCAGGCCAGGGGTTTCCACAAGTCCAGAGGGTGCCCTTTCCGTAGAATAAGGGGGCCCCTGGAGGCGGGCAGAGCTGTGGCCCTGGTCCCAAGGGTCAAAGGAAGACTAATGGAGGGCGGAGAGTGGTCACAGAGCCAATCCATCTGAAGCCTCTCTGTCCTGCTTCAAATCGAATACCCCTCACACTTCTATGGCAGTAAATTCATCTGTGGCTCCAAGTATTAGGTTGAAACGAACCCAAGCTAACTGTAAGTGAAAGGAATCCCAGAAAGAAAGAAATCGGTGGTGGGATAGTTTCAGCAGGGATTTGAGGCAGAGTGGCACTTCCTGCGCTTCCCCAGGGGCCTCTGAGTTCAACAGGTGGGAGGACCACCGCATGGCTCAGGGACGTTGAAAGGCGGGTGGGCACCCATGCAGGACAGAGTTATTACTGCCTGGAAGGGGGCCGAGAGGTGAGTGGGGGAGGAATGGGAAATTCTCCTGAAGAGCTGCTCTGACTGGTTTGTGCCCAGAGGACACCACTCCAGCACATCCATTCACCTCTTGAACAACCAGCTGACCGAGGTAACACTTGGGTAATGGATCCAAGTTCTGGTCTGTTCCGTGAGGTCTGTCTCTAAATTGAGGCTACATCCTGCATATTCACTTGGACTAGTTTCTCCATTTAACTGAACTTAGATATCACAATATCTCCTTGCCTCTCTGGGCTGGATTTGGGATTTCAGAGTGAGCTCACGGATACTCCTTTCAGAAAACAATCTAGAATAATTTACAATCTCTTGGAATGTGCTCCCGGCAACTATGAAGTGGGAAACGGATTACACCGCCCAGGGCGGGGACGTAGCGCCACCTGGTGGTCTTTCGAATTATATCTGGTAGCCTCTTCGGCACGGTAACCAGGCAGCCACGTGGACTCGGCTGTGTAGCCAACGGGCCACTGGAGTTTGATTTATGCCACTGCATGTGGTCAGAAGGACCATTTCTCCCAGCCTCTAATTTTCAAATGAATCCACAGTCAGATTTTCAACGTTATCGCCAAATGAGATTCAACATTTAGTCACAAGGAAGTACTGTCAGGGTAGAAAACAATGAAACGTTCATGAAACTACTTTGGACTTGTGTCCTAGAACCAGGTCAAACCACTTGGAATATACTATGTAGTATTAATTTTTTAAAACCCTACAATTATCTTGTGATGAGCACAACTGGATAGCATAACATTTTTTCAATTTAAAGCATTAATTCTGATAAAAGTAAACATGTAAAATCCATCATAACCTTGTACCCCCTACTCTGACATGTCTGGTTTTTAGTATGTTAAAAAAATAAAATATTACAACTTTGTAAATCAACTATACTTCAGTAAAAAGTTGCTTGAAGTTAAAAAAAGTTGTACAGTCTATCTTAAACAAAATCTGAAAATATTTGTCAAAAAATAAAATAAAATAAGGAAGGGGCTTGGGCCTCTCTCGATGTAT